CAGAAAACCAAAATAATGTGGCTGCCTGAAGTCAGAGCTCTGGTGGAATAACAAAGGAATCTGCCTCCAAGCTCCATGAATCCCCCAAACAACAGAACACACACTTGCAGAGGATGGATTCTCTAAACAAATCTGAAAATTTAACAAGATTCTTCACTCAATCTCGTGAAACCTCTTAGAGTCCAAGTGAGTACATGGCAGGCAATTCAGGTAGAAATGACAAAGTTAAAACTGAACAGCTACTAAAGCAAACATTCTGGAGATTATTTCTGTGTTTAAGGCCATGAGAGATAATCTGATGACCAAACTTCTCAAAGTACAAGAGCAAGCTATCTACTTGGAAGAGAGTGTCAAGGTGCAGAGAGATTGGCCTAAGAGATAAGTGAGCAATAAACAGATCTGCAGAGCTGCATGGCAAAGTGATGGAGCAAAGAGGAAGAGGGAAATGCATCTTAAACTGGATGATACAGAAAACAGATCAAGAAGAACCAACATCAGAATTAAGGGGCTGCCTGAAAATGCTGAAGGAAGAAACCCAATCTGGTACGTAAAACCTGTAATTGTAGAATTGTTCCATTTGAGCTCTCTGGAAGAAGTAAAAGCGGAGAGAGCATATAGAACACTGCTCCCCCAACTCATAATAATAAACCCAGAGATATATTTTTAAATTTACATGATTATGATTATCATCAGAAAAAAAATGTAATTATGAAAAAAGCCAGTGTGTTTAGTACTCACAGGCCACAAGCTGCCAATTTTCCATGACCTCTCTGCTTTAACTTAAAAACAGAGTGAGAATTGAGGTGGGGAAAATTACAGCAGCACCCAGGAGGCAGATATCTGCTACAGATGGGAATTCCCATATGAACTCTCATTCAGCATCCAAAACCAGCATTATTTAATACAAGACCAAACAAGGAAAAGAAATACCCTGAGATTTGTATTTCTAGCCCATGTGATAGAAGTGTATGTCTACACTACAGAGTTGTGTCAGAAAAACGGCCATTTTCCCAACAAAACTTGAGGAACGTCCACGCTGCAATTGCATTCTTCCACAAGAAAATCGAAAGAATAAGAAGAAGCCTTTTTGTGAAAGAGCTCTTTCGGGGAAGAGGAAAGAGGAAAAAGCACAGGTGTCCTGGTAGCTATTCCATCCATAGCAATCATAGCTTACATGCAAGAGCGCATCCATTCAGTCTGGATGTTCTCTTTCAAAAAAGCAGATTGCTTTTTCGATACACTTTTGTAGTGTGGATGCGCTCTTTCAGAAGAAGTTTTTTTGGAAGAGATCTTCCAAACAAAGCTTCTTCCGAAAGAATCCTGTAGCCTAGACATAGCCTCAGACATACAGAAAGGTTCTCCAGAGGTAGTAACTAGAGATAAACTGGTGGGAAAAAGACTCCTGGTAAATGGTGAAACCCAGGCTACATCTAAACTACATCCCTTTTCTCAAAAAAGGGATGTAAATTAGGTTTTATCTGAAAAAATGAGTACAAGATCTTTCAAAAAAGGATTTTATTTTTGATCGATCCCTGTCTAAACAGCCGTTTTTCTTTTGAAAAGCCCCATTTCGAAAAAACCACGGCCACCATTACGCGAATGAAGTGCGGACAATTTAAATCCCTGCTTCATTTGCAATTTCTAAGTGTCTAATTTACATCCCTTTTTCGAGAAAAGGGATGTAGTTTAGACAGCCCCAGGAAAAAGGTGACGGGAAAAGAAAACACAAAAGACTTTAGAGACCATACTGGCTATGGCAGAAGTGAAGCTGACCAAGAGAACTTAGATACCTGAATAATAATCCAAAGACTAATCAGAAGAGACTTGTGAGTCACCAGGAATTAAAAAACTAAACCGTAACTAGGTTAATATTATAAAGACAATAGTCGGTTTACTGTAATTAGGGTGATCAGTAATAGCTGTGTTCTGTATTTTTAAAATAGAGGTAATCAAGGACTTAAAGGTACAGCTACACAGCAGGGCTAAAGCCGAAATAAGCTATGCAACTTGTGCTACGCCAATTGCATATCTTAAGTTGAAATATCTTTTTTCGACTTTTGGTGCTGCCTACACATTAGGTAGCCCGAGAGAGCACACTTCCCCCAACTTCCCTTATTCCTCATAAAATGAGGGTTACAGAAGTTGGAGTAAGTCGTCCTCCAGCTCAATATTATTTTAACATTATGTTGAAATAATTGCTTGTAGTGTAGACACGGTTTATGTGATTGTGGAGTAACAGCAGTTATTCTAAAATAATGCTGCTGTGTAGACAGTCATATCAGTGGAGTTGGGGGAAAGATTACAAGATCAGTGGAGACTGGAGAAAACAGAGGAGGGGAAGGATCATTTACAGAGTTTGTGTAAGCCTCCCCCCCCTTACACAAGGGGAGTGGGGGTGTTTGGAAGGTGCAGGAGGCAGGGCAGAATGTTAGGGGTGGGAAGCAGATGATGTGGGGATGCTCTGGAACCGGATTACCTTACCTGGCTAGGGCTGAACTCCTGCACCCAGGCAGCAGTGGCTTGATGAGGGGCCAAGCCAGGATCACCACAGCTACATTGTGGCCTCCTCTCCTACCCATGGAGTAGCAGGAGAGAGGCCAACACCAGCCCTTCTGTGTTCAGATGGAGGCTGGACCACAAGATTGGGGCTAGAACATAAGAACGGCCGTACTGGGTCAGACCAAGGGTCCATCTAGCCCAGTATCCTTTCTGCCGACAGCGGCCAGCACCAAGTGCCCCAGAGAGGGTGGACCGAAGACAATGATCAAGCGATTTTGTCTCCTGCCATCCCTCTCCAGCCCCTGGCATCCCCTGGCTAATAGCCTTTTATGGACCTAACCTCCATGAATTTATCCAGCTTCTCTTTAAACTCTATTATAGTCCTAGCCTTCACAGCCTCCTCTGGCAAGGAGTTCCACAGGTTGACAACACGCTGTGTGAAGAAGAACTTCCTTTTATTAGTTTTAAACCTGCTATCCATTAATTTCATTTGGTGTCCTCTAGTTCTTCTATTTAGGGAACTAATAAATAACTTTTCTTTATCGGCCCTCTCCACACCACTCATGATTTTATAGACCTCTATCATATCCCCCCTCAGTCTCCTCTTTTCTAAACTGAAAAGTCCCAGTCGCTTTAACCTCTCCTCATATGGGACCCGTTCCAAACCCCTAATCATTTTAGTTGCCCTTTTCTGAACCCTTTCCAAGGCCAAAATATCTTTTTTGAGGTGAGGAGACCACATCTGTACACAGTATTCAAGATGTGGGCGTACCATAGTTTTATACAGGGGCAGTAAGATATTCTGTCTTATTTTCTGTCCCTTTCCTAATAATTCCTAGCATCCTATTTGCCTTTTTGACCGCCGCTGCACTCTGTGTGGAAATTTTCAGAGGACTGTCCACAATAACGCCAAGATCTCTTTCCTGATTTGTCGTAGCCAAATTAGCTCCCATCATACTGTATGTATAGTTGGGGTTATTTTTCCCAATGTGCATTACTTTACACTTATCCACATTAAATTTCATATGCCATTTTGTTGCCCAATCACTCAGTTTGGTGAGATCTTCTTGGAGTCCCTCACAGTCTGCTTCTGTCTTGACTATCCTAAACAGTTTGGTATCATCTGCAAACTTTACTACCTCACTGCTTACCCCTTTCTCCAGATCATTTATGAATAAGTTGAAAAGGATTGGTCCCAGGACTGACCCTTGGGGTACACCACTAGTTACCCCTCTCCAATCTGAAAATTTACCATTTATTCCTACCCTTTGTTTCCTGTCTTTTAACCAGTTCTCAATCCAAGAAAGGACCTTCCCTCTTATCCCCTGGCCATGTAATTTACACAAGAGCCTTTGGTGAGGGATCTTGTCAAAGGCTTTCTGAAAATCCAAGTATACTATATCTACTGGATCCCCCTTGTCCGCATGTTTGTTAACCCCTTCAAAGAACTCTAATAGATTAGTAAGACAGGATTTCCCTTTACAGAAACCATGTTGACTTTTGTCCAACAAATTATGTTCTTCTACATGCTTCACAATTTTATTCTTCCCTATTGTTTCGACTAATTTGCTCGGTACTGAAGTTAGACTTACCGGTCTATAATTGCCCGGATCGCCTCTAGAGACCTTTTTAAATATTGGTGTCACATTGGCTATCTTCCAGTCATTAGGTACGGAAGCCGATTTAAGGGATAGGTTACAAACCACAGATAATAGTTGAGCAATTTCCCATTTGAGTTCTTTTAGAACCCATGGATGAATGCCATCTGGTCCCGGAGATTTGTTACCATTAAGTTTTTCTATTTGTTCCAAAACCTAGGGAGAGGATGCTGCAGCCAAATGGGGGCTGAGACCCGATTGGGACCTTGCTGGCCAGCCTGCCGGAGCTGAAGCCAAAGCCAGGCCCCTGCAGCTGGGCTGTTGCAGCACTAGCAGGGCTGGGATGCCGGGTCTGCCTCAGGAGTGTGGTGGCTAGAGGACAGAACACAGCAGTCAGAGTGGGCTAGAGCTGGGCCACTGTAGCAGCAGATGCTTCCATCTGGCTGCCAGCCCCTCTCACTATCTGGCTGGGAGTATGCATGTGTCTCCTACGGTGCACCCTCAGCCAACCCTTAAAATGAAGAGAGTGCCCAAGCCAGCTCTTGCCGCAGAGCAGCCAGTACTTACCAGGCTGCACCACCTTACTTTCACCTCTGGTTAAAGGTGTTTAAAAAAAAAGAGACCATCTTGACATGAATAATTATGTATTTTTAAAATGTTGAATTAATTTTTCATTTTTAATTTAAAAAGTTGTATGTAATTTGGGAATGACAAAAGAGCCATATTTGGCTCAAGTTCCATAGGTTGCTGACCCCTGCCATAGGGCAAGAGTCAAGCTTCTATGGGTAGGAAATTTTTGTCCATTACATTGCAAGAAAAGAAGTCCAAAAGCTAATGGAAGAGAAAATGGGTTTAGAGTTCAGCAAAGCACAGTTGTTTGGGTACTGTTTTACTTGTCATGTTGATACTTTAACTCCACAAATGAAGTAAGAGGAAATACAGAAAAGTGGTGGGAATTGGGGAGACGGGGTGAAATAACACAAGTAGCAGCTATAGAAGTTTACAAACAAGCCAGCCATATTTAGGCACACATAATGAATGCAACATAATTAGAAACAAGACATCAGCTACACAAGAGTTCATGTAATCAGGCAGCAAGCATCACAGTAATTTCAGGTTTTTCAATAAACTAGTTACTTTAATTGTCTCTTCCTTTAAAAAGTAATATCTTTGAATGTGAAAGGGCTAACTGATACCATGAAAAAGGAAAAAAAAATCCCTATATAGAACTTTAACAAAAACCCACTTCCAGATTATTGTACTTCAAGAAACCCATTTTCAGATGGGGCAAATTATGGACATGCCAGAACTGGTTTCAACAGATATATTGCGCTTCAGCAAAAGAAAGGAAGACTGGGCACAGTATTTGCTGAGCATGTACCTTTTCAGGTTAAAAGATTTATATTGCTGAAAGGCACAATTTCTGATTTACTAATCGAAGTGACAAGGAGTTCCGTGGCACCTTATAGACTAACCAATGTATTAGAGCATAAGCTTTCGAGGGCAAAGACCTGCTTCGTCAGATGTATTGCCCACAAAAGCTTATGCTCCAATACATCAGTTAGTTTATAAGGTGCCACAGGACTCCTTGTTGCTTTTGCAGATCCAGACTAACACAGCTACCTCTCTGATAATCGAAGTGCTATCTGTATATGCTTGTAACTCAAAGCAAAACACCAATATTTTTTAAACAATCTTTTAAAAACACTGCAACGCTTTGGGAAAGGGTAACTGAAGGCAACTTGAATTGTACACCAACTCCTTACTGGTACAGCTCTGATGAAGACATGGGAGATAAGGAAGCAGGCATGGTATTGACTTCCTGTGCCAACAACTCAATCTTCCAGACTTCTGGATAAAATGGTACACAGGAGAAAGATTATTTTTTCACATCCTCATCAGTTATATATTAGAACAGATTTACTGTTAATCTATGAATTCTTGATGAAGCAGGCAAGATCTGTAGAAACTGGCAACATTACATGGTCAGATCATGCACCAGTAGAAATAATAATTGATGATTGGGATAGGTCCGAAAGATCATTTTATTGGAAAATGAACTGCTTGCTTCTCCAAAACACATCCCGCGACTGCAATTAAAGAAGACATTGTTCAATACTTTCAAATAAATGATACGGACAGTGAAAAAAGTCTTTTCTGGGACACAGGTACAGCAGTATTTGGAGGTCAGTTGGTAATCAAAGCCTTCATTTGGAAAAAGAAAGATCAGGACTAGAACAGGAGACAAAAGGTTACAAGAGTTTCATGAAAACCACAGGTTCAGAAGTAAAATAAAACCCCCTAATATTAGAGGAAAGTTGAATATCTTGATCATAGATGCCACTGAAGAAGTATACAAATCAAAAGTTCTGAGAAAGCAAATAAAAATGTTTGGCTATTGACTCAAAAGTGTAAAGAAATTCAAGAGAAACATATTATCCCAACAATTAAAAATAATCGGCAAGAGATAGTTACACACCCTAATGAAATATGTGCAAGTTTTGCCACTTAAAAATTTTTTGGTAGTATAACGTAATCAAAATTACGTATTATGGGCAATAAAAATATCAAACAACATGGAAACAATTCACAAAATAGTGCAATGATAGCTAAACCCATGTAACAAGTAAAGCTGGGTGAACTATACAAGTTAACAAGTGAACAATTTATTCAGTAAAATGTAACTGGTTTTCTGTTATGGAACTAAGAGCATTTACATTTTTATTAATGTATTCCTTATTCAGAATTAGTCAACCATTAGTTTATATGAACATTTCAGTACATAGATTGCTTGCAAAGTATTCACAATCACTTCAAGAATCTGATGTTCATAATTTGCATCATATGACTGGTTAGTTACTTCATTTTTTTCCCCCTCACAAACCCAGAGCTTTCACAGTGGCTATTGTAGCCTGCTCATTTTTGACACCTCATTAATATGTATAATCAATCATTAATATGTATGATTTGTTATGAATATGTAGTAGCTGTTAGAAATGTTAATATAGAAGTTTCTAGGAGTGTTGCACACGGCACCCAAGTAGCTGCACATGTCACACTGTGCTGCTGCATGCAGCACACTGATCCAGGCTGTTACAACTTGTTTATCAAAGCAACCAATCAGGGACCCTTGTTTTCCTGTACAGGGTCCAATGATTTTAAAGATAATGAATTTTTATGAGAAGGGTGCTTTGAAGGCCTGGCTAACAGTTGTCTGTGTTCGTTCCTGCCACCATTGTTCCTGCTTGTCTCCTGTCTATGTTAGTCTCTATAGTTAGTTAGGGTTAGCTAGATCTCGTCATTGAGTGTGTCCGTTAGGATTAGTGTGTCGGTTCACCGCACCAGCGGCCGGGTACTTGTCCGTGACGGGAGCGTCGAGTCTAGCTAGTCAGGTTTTGTTTCCAGATATTAATAGGTAGCTGTCTATCATCGGTTCCTGCTGAAGAGCAGAAGCCACCTGAAGATCAGCGCCAGGCAAGTCTCCACCGGTGATTCCTGCATCTAGGAGTGGAAGGCCCCAGACGAGGATCATCACCACCTGCCTGCACCATACCCGTCCCCAGGGTCTCCAAGGGATGGCCTCTCTGTTCCTCGCTGAGGGCTCGGAAGGAGCCTAAGGCTTGAGGTCGAGAGCACCGCAGAGGGTCACCGCTGCGAGGGATCTCCTCCTTATCTTTCACCAGAGGCTTTAAATTAGCCAAAGGTTTGAGAGACAGGAGCTTCTCACCCACTGTCAACTACTGGACTGAGTAATTATTGTATTTTGTGTAACCTAGTGTTTGTGGGGTACTTTTCTATCTTCTTTCCTTCTTGGGGTTGGGAAATATTACTGTTTACCTGCCTTTCTTGTTGTACCTTTAAAACTTTTACAATATATGGTTTGGCCCCTTTAAAGTGAGCAACGTTTTTATTTACTGCGGCATTCTTGGGTCAGCAAACACCTATGATAGATGAGGTTTGGTGGTATCTGCAACTTCCACTGAGGCTTAATTAATAATAATCAGATGCAAATTTAGGTACAAGCTTCCCTCAGTGTAACACTATGTAAGCATGTCTAGTGAATAGCACAACACTTATTTCTACGGAATAATTTGCAGCTAAATATTTGTTTGTATGAATGTTTGCAGAAAGCCAATTTGTAGTTATTACAATGTAGATAACAATAGAGTGGGGAATATAGAAAATCTTAGAAGAAAGTGAAGATGATCATATAGACTTTCCATATTAAAATGACCAGTAAATAATTGATCGAATATAGGACTCCACTTGAACAGTGGCAGGCTGGTAACTACATGATTACCTGCTATGTATTAGCCACACATCACAAATATGACGACATTTTGTTCTTAAGTTTCTTCATTGCTTAAAGAAATGTATTAAAAACTTCTAAAAAAGACAATATTTTAATGTATTTTATACATACTTTTGTTTGGTTAAGCTTGCTGGGCATACCATCCCATCAGTTTCTACAATCAGAAGGTAACCTTTATCATTACAGTTACTGTCAAAGTTCTGTAAAGAGGAAATATGGCTAAAAAATTCTTCTCAACTGGAAAAGTTAAGTCATAACTATAGTAAATTACTGCAGGTTGAATCTCTCTAGTCTGGCACCCTAGGGACCTGACTAGTGCTGAACCAAAGAATTTTCTGGACCACAGCAGGTCAATATTGTCTAGATTAGAAACATTACCAACACTTCCATTGTGTACTGGGCTCTTAGAAGATAGTTAGGGGTAAACTAGAGGAAAATAATACCACAGAACCCTGAAAGTCAGGACTGGAGTGTGCAAACAAACTTTATGGGACCATGGGAAACTTAGCCACACCCATGATAAGTGGACATCAAATACCTATTTTTAAGGGTACCTATCACTATATTTAAACAAAGGTACTATGATACTTGCAGCCTATAGTGAACAAATTGCAGGAGTTTGCACTGCAAGCTCTACAAAATAATCCAAGTCAGTAAATATTTGCAAGGAATGATGCACAAAATACCACGAGACTTCACAAGCTGCACTGCAGGAATCCAATGCTTTTTAGTTTATAGTGCTGCAAAGCTAAGAACTTATGTTTTTTCCTTTTGCAGAGCCCATTGTAGTCTAACTATACACGCATTTTAAAGAGAGAAATGCTTAGCATTTTATATCTGAACCTTCCTATTTAAAAACTACAACAGTACATCCTACTTTTGCATGTATCAGGAATTGACAAGTTAATAAAAATTAGCTTAATGCCAATTCCTATACATTGTAGATATGAAATAATTACATATAGCTATATTTGCATGATAAACTTAAAAAACAACGGATGGTCTGGTAGCACTTTATAGACTAACAAAACACATAGATGGTATCATGAGCTTTCATGGGCACAGCCCACTTCTTCAGATGACCGGAGTTCCTATGATATTAAACACTTTAAATTCTGAGTTCTTTATCTAGTGAATTAGTCCAACAAAACCCCTTTGAAATAGGGAAATGTTATCCCCATTTAATGGGTATAGAAACAAATCCTGAAGAACTTTAGCACGTGGTCACAATTCTCAATCAACCACCCCCTCTCAGTCACTGACCAGCCTCCTGCAAGGGAAGTCAGCTGCTGGAGCCAGTGTGTTTAACTTCCACAGTCTGAACAGAGTACATATACTATCCCTACCTTGGGGCCTCTAAGCACGTTCTTGGGATGCAGACTCTTTGTCTAGCACCCCATATGGAGAGTTGCATGCAGCCCACTACCCAGCCCCTCAAACCAGTGGTGAACTTTCAGATTTTCCAGAGTTTAAACACCCCCTTTGCCAGAACTCCAGCCAAGTGAGTAGTCTGGGCCCACAGTTTGGCTACGTCTACACTGGCCCCTTTTCCGGAAGGGGCATGTAAATTTCATGAGTCGTAGTAGGGAAATGCGCGGGGGATTTAAATATCCCCCGCGGCATTTAAATAAAAATGTCCACCGCTTTTTTCCGGCTTTTATAAAAGCCGGAAAAGAGCGTCTACACTGGCCCCGATCCTCTGGAAAAAGCGCCCTTTTCCGGAGGCTCTTATTCCTACTTCAAAGCGCATTTCCCTACTACGACTCATGAAATTTACATGCCCCTTCCGGAAAAGGGGCCAGTGTAGACGTAGCCAAACTGTGGGCCCAGACTACTCACTTGGCTGGAGTTCTGGCAAAGGGGGTGTTTAAACTCTGGAAAATCTGAAAGTTCACCACTGGTTTGAGGGGCTGGGTAGTGGAGACATATAGTATTTGTAATACATGGAATGCAAGGAACTTTGTGCAGGATTAGAGCACTGTTACTCTTGACTTAATCACATAAGAAACACATGCTCTATATAAAATAATAAACCCTATATGCACTTCCTGCCTCAGTTTCCTCACCACATTAAAATATTCTAGGGTGGAGGAGAGACAAATGCCAGTGGGCTAAGTGGAGAC